CAAGTGCATGCACATAATATAGTAATCAAATGCAGAAGTAAACAAATTAAATAAGTATTTGCAAGTGCATGCAGCATGCACATAATATAGTAATCATTTGAAATGAAAAATAATAATAATGAAACACATTTCTCTTCTCGATTACAACTATAAAGCCAAAGTCCAGCCCCTCTTCAAATTCTTACAACACATTTTCTCTTCCTCACCCTCTCCCTCCTTCCAGATCTCTTCTCTCTTTACATTCACGTTTACAAGAATTAGGAGACGAAGAACTATTTCTCTATCTCTTAAGCTCTAATTAAGTTACCAAACACACCCATACACGAAGAGAAAAATGGCACAGCTGATGAAGCTACTTGTGACAATTGCATTAACATTCACAATTACAACCGCCACCGTCACCACAACAACTACCAAAACCAACCCCACGACCGAAACATTTGCTCTCAAAGACCCTTTCAAGGACCTTACATCCCTTAAGATCAGACCGAGTCGGTTCTTGGCCCAAACAGATGGCAAGGGTCAAGGGCCTAAAGCCCAAAACCCAAATGCAGCCAACACATGCAAAAGAGATTCAGAGATCTGCAGTAGCACCGGAGCAAAGTCTACATTGACTTGTTGCAACAAAAAGTGTATGGATTTATCAACCGACAATCAAAACTGCGGTGCGTGTAAGAACAAATGCCCGTACGGGACAACATGTTGTGGCGGTAAGTGCGTTAGCTTGAATTACGATAATGACCATTGCGGTTGGTGTAACCATCGTTGCAAACGAAACACGCATTGCTTCCTCGGTCTTTGTGACTACGCGTGATGCTTCGATCATTCATTGACGTCATGCCAACGTTTCAAATCATGAGTATATAAAAACATCATTTTCTACTTCTAATGTTGTCTACGAATAAAATGGATCGGAACGTCCTCGATTCCAGTATCACTGCTGTGTTTAGTAAGTTCATTATATAAGAGTGTGAAAAGAGTGAATTATATTCACTCTAAATAATATCGTGAATAATGTTTTGTAAGTATATACAAATTAAATAATAAAGTCTCCTGTTGACAAAAAAGTATATTTTTCCTTAGCCCGTCTTTCTTTTTTGTTCAACACCTTAGTCCGTCTCCATCCAGAACTTACAGAGTTACAGATATACATCGAAGTTATATGATTTGTAAAACTAATAAGCGACAAAAACAATAAAAAAATATTGTTACACGAATTTGGAAAGCCTATTAAAATTTCACATGTGAGTCACTAGTCAAACTAGAGCTGGGCATCATTATTTGTTATTCGCCTTAAACTCGTTATTCCTACCGTCTTAAAAATTCAAGTATTCGGTGTTGTCAAGTCAAGTAACAAACCAACAATTTTTATTACTTGCAAAACTAAATCAAGCATTAAGTAACATTCTTATTTTTATACTCGACTCGTTACACCCCGGTATTTGCTCTATTACTTGTTATTTGTTACATGATCTATAAATCATTTATTCATATTTGTCTTTTCTTTTACATTATTCTTCTTATAGTTGTTACTTGTTTCGTATCCATCTTGATTTTTAAATATTTGTCATCATCTAGTTAAGTATTACAAAGTAACAAATATTAAAAATCTAGTAATATGATTTGTTATTACATGTTATTTGTCTAGAGAAGATATTTTTGTTATCGTGAAAATTATATGATTTAGGGAAGGAGATAGGGGTAGAGTCGTCTGAAACGAAGGAAACCGAAGGAAACTGTCTCTTTTCGATGTGTAGAGCACATTTCGAACCTGGGTTATTGCTAGACATTTCCAATTATAAGCCACTGAACCACGTTCTCTTATTGTTGTTTCCTAAACAAAGATATTATATATTAGATTATACATACAAAATATGAAAAAATTCCTCGTCGATTACTCTTCAATATTTTTCCGCTTTTCTAAAAAATCGCTAGGTTCGGATGCACCGCACGCGTAGCGCCTAGCGAGTTTCCGAACAAACAAGGACTACAACCAGTGGCGGATCTACTTGTATGAAAGGGGGGTCAGCTGACACCCCTTAAAATTAATATATGTGATTTGTTAAGCAAGAACAAGTGTATTTCATCAGCTCTGATGGTTAGATCATATAAGCTGACACCCCATAAACCAAGGTTCAAACCCACTTGACACCCTTCTTTTGCTTATTTTTTATTTGGATATAAAAGCCCATTTAATTTGACACCCCTAAACCAACATCCTAAATCCGCCACTGACTACAACCAATAATCAATCAATAACATTTCATAATTAATTTAAGCAAACTTGCGCGTGGCTTAATAGTTGATGCAACATACCAATCCATCGATTCTTTTCTTGAATAATTTCATTTCTTTTTTATTTCACAATATTACTATACTCTACACCTGATGCATGCATATCTTTTTTTTTTCATTGAAGATGCAAACAATACATAAACGAAAGTAAAATAAATAATAAAGTCTATTTGTGCATTGATAGAAGATTTCTAGATGATTAATTCCTATAAACGAAAGATTTCAAATAATGTTTTCAACTCTATTTGATCTTCTTCTGTTTCTTGAAATATTTGAAATATTATAAATATACTCTATACACATAAAGCACAGAAATTATAATACTCCCGTGCAAAATTCAAGTGCATATCATTTGAATTTTTTTATTTTCTAAAAAAATGGCAAAAATGTATCCGTTAATATTTCTTTTCCTTCTCTTATCTTTCATCATGACCCACACTACCTTCCTGTAGCGAGCTCCACAAAGTACTGTGTACCAGGTGTAGACTCGACGAGTCTCCAGCTACAAGCAAACATAAATTTCGGATGTAGTCAAGGAGTTGATTGTAGAGCTTTCCAACCTCGTGGACACTGTTTTAATCCCAATAAACTCATAGATCATGCAGCATATGTGATGAACGCGTATTACCAGAGCCATGGTCGTGCCCAAGAAGCATGCAAATTCGTTTTTGGCATTTACGGAATAATAACTGAAACATACCCTTATGGTCCTTGTTCCTATTGATCTTAGTGTCTTATTGGATTTAGTTCCAATTTTTTTTTAAATAAAGTTATATAATTATGAAAAAGCGCTATAGACATTTAAGATTTTTGATTGCATTGTTTGGTTCAAAACTTGTTTCATATGAAAAAACGTGTAATGCGCAGTGACAGTTCAATGGATATCTGATGATATATGATAGTTCTCATAGGAAAATAGATCGTTGACTCTAAATACTTTGACATACAATGAGAGTGAATACTCATTATAATGGAGAATGTGTTGAAACCAGTCCCTCACCGTGGTCAAAGATAAATTGTAATGCAATGGACACATATTACTTAGTGACTCATAACACTGCAAAGAATCTTGAAACAAATAGTAAGAGCTGAAGAGGCCTCTTGGAGTTTCACCAGAATTATCTTGTCTAATGTCTTCGTGTCTTTTAGGGTGGTTCAAACTTTTTTGATGGTTTGGAATGTTTTAAGGTCTTACTTTTCATGTTTTGGCTAAGTGACTAATTAACTCACTTCTTTCTGCAGTTATACAAAACTTCATTTTGACTACTTTCCTACTAATCAAAGTATGATACTAACAGCAAGGGTGACGAAAACTAATGACACAGAAGGTTGTCAGAAGAAACAATTCTCATACAGAAGAAAAGACTAGAGCATAAACCAAAACTCAATTTTATTTCTGAGTACACGATAATTCAATATGCCCAAACCAAACTATTTTACCAGGAGAAATGAGATGATTGTAGGAAACATAAAATTTAGGAAGAGGATGTTTTCTTCAACAACGAAACTTAACTCAGATAAAAAAAACATGAAGATACTTCCAGAACTGGAATTACAAAAGCCAAAATTAAAAAAAGCTGAAACGACAACTCCATAGCCCTCTTACATTCAACTAAAAACCATGTCTCTTTCAAGGCAAGCCAGAACCGGATGGTGCAGCTGCGCTGTATCCTCCAGCACCACGTCCAAAACCTGGCCTTCCACCACTTCCCTGCACAACAAAAAGAATGTCAACACAAGAGATAGCAAAATCACAACATTATATAACTAAAAAGACTTGCGAAACAGTTCAAAGATGGCGAAGTAAAAGGTTAGTGGTTTGCCTTGTTCACTAGTTCTAAAGCTTAAACATGAATATGAAGTAACCAAATACAAATACCAAAAGAATGTCAACACAAGAGAAAGTAGTTTAATCTCACAGGAAGCAAAATAAAAAGGTAAATGGAAATGAGAATCCCACCTGGAAAGAAGGCTGGTAATCAGCTGGAGCTCCACCCTTTTCACCTTCACCACCAGCACCACCACGACGGTACCCCTCACGGTCACCATACCTAGGACGGTCTCCTCCTTCAAATCTCGGCCCTCTGAAACCAACACACATTATTACATCACCAAATAACCAAACAAAGAACAAGCTATTACCACACACATACTGAACTAAGAAAAGAGATTTAAAAAAAGTCAAAACCTTGGGCGATCGCCAGGTGGGCCACCACCAAAGGGACGACCAATGGGCTTAGCAGACTTCTTCAAAGTAGCGGGAACAACATCAGAAGGAAGGTTAAGGTAAGTCCTCAAAAACTCAATCCCTTCATTAGTCAAAAACCAATAGTAATGCATCCACGCGAATGTCTCCCTAACATACTCCTTTGACTTAAAAGACTGCATCAGCTTGATCACTTGCAGGTTTGGTACTGACTCAATCAAAGGATGCTTTGCCAAATTGAAATCTTTCTTAGCAAACAAAACTCCTTCTGCAAAAACCCCACAAGAGAATATATATTGTCACAAATCTTATTCTCCTAATCAGGTAAAAGAGACAAGACCTAACATCAAAAGATCATAAAGTAGGAACCTTTGAAAAGGTATTTGCAGATTTCTCTGCGGTTTTCCTCTGACATAATCTGAAAAAAAAAACAATGGTAGAAGAAAATGGTTAAAATTCGGACAAAGGAAAACTCTTAAGGTTAATCGAAACATGATGGTAGCTTGAAAGCAGAGCTCAGGCTTACCATTGTAGCTGTGGGGAGAGGTTAGAGACGACGCAGACGGAGGAAGGTCGAGAGTGTTAAAAAAGCTAGGGCTTTTCAGGATCTGGGAAGACGATGATTTTATATGCTTTGTTTTGGGCTTTTAATGGGCTTTAATCTACGTATTCACCATTTTATTGGGTTGAATCTATAAGCCTGACGGTTTGGTTTGTATGATTAGTTCGGTTACGTTAATTTGGTTTCTAGTAGATTGGTTTGCACAAAATTTTGCTGAATTTAATCGAATAAAAAAATTTGCTTAGTTCAGTTTAGAACATTTTGCCGAAGTGAATTTTGTTAGCTCTTGGTTATAATGCAATTTTACTTGGTTAAATTTTGTTATTTCAATTTTTTGGTTTTATATAAAACAAAGTTAAAATTTGTGAAAAATTACATTTTCAAATATGGGATAAAAATTTGTCTAGACAAGTCTGTTCTATGCTTGCCGAAACAAGAAGGATAAAAATCAGTCTGAGCAAGTTTGTTTATGTTTATCAAGTGATATGATTTGATTAAAAACAAAATTTAAATAAATTAACCGATATCAAAGAGCTGAGTATCAAGTTTTTTTTGTAAAGATCTCATAAATGATCTTGAACCAAGTATAAAACGAGTGGTAAAATTAGATAAAAGTGTATGTCCTTTTGGTATTTCAATATTATTATATTGTAAAAGAAAAAAAAAAACACATTCTTAAATTATATTACACCTGCTCTGAAAATATATGCTTTTTTGTTTTGAAAATATGTTATTTATGTTGCTCTTATGTTACACTAAAAGGAAACAAGAAGAAGGAAAAAAAGCTAAGCCAAGAGATTTGGTCTCCACCACAGAGACTTTACATCTTAAAGAAAAGAAGACGATGGTAAAGATAATACATTCTACATGTAAAACAAAACCCAAACCGCTCAATGTCAGCTTCATCTTCTTCATATGTACAAAACAAAACCCACAACAGAATCTATGTGTTCGGTAGCCAATTTTTGTTTTGCGCACCTGAGACACTTCATAATTTCCCTCTACGATTACCTTCAAGTAGAGATTTCAGGTGGATCTTTCTTCATGGTTTTACTCACTCCACCAGGATCAGTTGCTGTCTCGGAACCGATTTCATAAGCCGAGAGAAGCCGTCTCTGTTGTCTCGACATCAATTAAGAGTTTTAAGGTTAGCTCTGACATAGGGTTTCTAGAGCTCTAAAAGTGACTCGAATTTGTAAAGAACAATACTTACATGATCCTCAAAATCAGGGCTAGATAAGTTGATGGATAGGTTTCTCATCAATAGCAACACCTGCTTGGTAGGGGCAAGCAAATTAAACAACGATTAGGTTTTATCATTTGCTCCATTTGTAATACTGAAAAGACAAAGAATCATACCGTTTCCACATCGATAGGGTCCATCTTCTTCAGCTTTTGTAGATGATTACTTGCATATGGGTCAAATACACTTCCAATGAAGCTGTATACTTGGGCAAAGTCCGGTAAAACTGAAACATAGACGAAGAAACTGATCTTTAGTAAACAAATGGTAAGCAAAAGACAAATAGTAGAGATTGTGTAACAATGCTTACCTCTTAATGAATGGCCAGGATTAGCCTGCTCATTTGTGTCCCTGTTGGATCGTGGTTTTGGAGTATTTTCAGAGCTACTAGAACAGTTGTTATTCGCTCCTGCTCCTGCTGTTTCCACCAGAACATTTAGCAAAATTTGAAAAAAGGAGATTACATAAAGAGAGTAATAGTGATTGCTTGTAGATGGGAATAAAACCTTTTGGGAGGGGTGTGAAGCTAATTGTTTGCACGTTATTAGTCCAGGGAGCTGCTGCAGCAGCAGTGGTTGGAGAAGTCATCAGCATCGAAGAAGACTCAGGCCTAAACATGAAACTCGGGTCATTTGGTTCAGGTGTTGATTTGAAGGACCCTGATACTTGAGGTTGAGCTGCATAAAAATGGCATCAATATAGTTTCTCAATAAGCAAAACAACATTATATATATCATATTCAGTAGCTAATTTGCGTACCATTCTTGTGAGCTTTCTGAGGATATGGATGAGCGGCTTTCCTTTTAGGTCGAGGAGGAGGGAGATGTTCACCCGTCCCACTCTTTTGGACCTTAAGAAAATACTTCTGAGCATGACTTCGTATCTGCAATAGTAGAGACAATGTCAAATGCAAGCAAATCCAAAGTTTGCACTTTATTAAATATCAGCGTGATCAGCGACAAAAGCATGTGCCTTTCCTGCTCCTAATAGTTCAGACAGTAAAGTCATTTTTAAAAGAACACGTTGTGGAGATACCAAATGAGAGATAACAACCATGTTCCAAGGTAACACAGAGGGCCCAAGAGAAGATGACAGAGAGCGTCAAACAACTATAGTAAGGGGAAAACAAAAGTAGCTCAGAAGATATTTTTGCATTTTTCTACTGTACCTGAATCACAGTCTTTGACCCAATAAAAGCTTCAATCTTCTTCCAATCTCGGTCAAACCTAAAATGATAAAAATAAGCATAAGCAGAAGGAATGAATCACAAATCCTTAGAAGTTAAAACAATCCGAAGTATCCACTAGAAGGACTGTTGTATTACTACCAACCTCAGTACTACTTCAATCACTCCCTAACTAATAGTTGTAAACTATGATTTTACAAAAAGAAAATTGCATCTCAGATAGCCTTCACCAAAAACCCTCTGCACTAACACACAAATCGTTCACCATCACAAGCTTTTTCAATATCAGACGCATTAGGAACATATCTGATCACTTAACTAGCCTTAGGACATATCTGATCACTTAACGTCTTCGGACACATCTTGTCTCATCCAATTTTTTTATTACACAATCAGAACAACAAAGTCATTCTCTTTTGTTTCACATCCTAACCGTCTCAATGCTTCAGACAAAAACATTCAGAAACTACTGAAACCCTAATTCTAAAACAAAAACCACCAAATGAATCAATCAAACCCTAATTCACCAAAACCGCCTCTAATTCTCACCCAATCGAATCTCTAAACAGTAAATTTCAAACCGCAATTTCCATTAACCTCGAGAAACGGCGAATTGCAAAATGAATTAAAAAAAAAAAAAAAAAGTAAACTCACAGCTGAAGAGCTTCGAGGAACTTATCGTGCTCAGGCTCCGTCCAGCTCTCTCTCGACTTGGTAATAGTATAAGGCTTCCTAATCTTCTTGCTGAGATCCTCCGACGAAGAGACAGTCTCCGCCGCATCCGCCACGGCCGTGAAAGGTCCAATAGAAGGAACCGTCATAGCGTTCGGATCCAAGAAAGAACCGTCTGCAGGATTCGGATTCTTAGAGACCATTTACAAAAACTTCTGGTGTGTGTAGAGAGATAAGAGAGGAAGAAGACGGCAGAGATAATTTATAGATGTGTATACAAAAATGTGTATGTATAGGCGCTTTTTTTTTTGTGTCTCACGATGAAACTCTCTCTTTGTGTGATCGTCTCAGGTCGGTCACTTTGCTGACTGCTGCTGGTCTAATTATAACGTGCCACGTGTTTGGAAACTGTAGTTTCCTTTTTAATAATGTTTTCTCTTTTGTTTTTTTCACTCCGTTTTTAGGCTTGTGATTTCGAGTCATCCGGTTAGGTTTGGCCTTCCGGTTGATAGTTAGGTTTGGCCTTCCGGTTTATTTTGGTTTTTCGATTTTTTTTTTAATTTTAAAATTTGGTTCGGTTTTGATTCGGTTATTATAGTTTGGTTTATTTTGATTGCGATTTGGTTTCAATTTTCTAGTTTCAGAAATATAAAAGTCGCTCGGCTATTTATGAGTTATATTTTGGTTTTCCCAGTTCAGTTTTGGTTTGATTATCAATTCTCTATTCCTAGTAGCAATAATAAAAATCAAATTTTACTCGGATCAATTTAAGTATACAAAAGTTATGGAACAGGTAAAGGATTCGATATAACGATCCAATACCTCTTACTTCTCAACATCATCTCAATTTCTCAACCACCTATATGTTCTCATTTTCCTACTATTCGAAACTTTCGTCCTCATTTAACACGGTGGGTTGTACTCCACATGAATAATCTTTTTTTTTTGTAGTGTAGATGTTTTATTTTTCAATTCTTATTACTTTAGAAACAAAATTATAATAACAAATCCTTGTTTTGAATGTATATTTTGAAAAATAACAAATTGGTGAAAATATTAGTCAAACGTAGACTATAATTTTAGCCACATGACTAATCGAGAAATCTTGGCGAGCATTTTTGTCAGCAATGATAGATATGATAGCAAATGTAGAAGTTCAAAGAGCTTTATTTAAACAGAAATAGAAATAGTTTGTTGAAGCTTTTTTTATATGCAAAAAAAAAAGTAAAGAAGAGATGAACTTAAGGTTATCAATCTATTTTATTTTTTTGTTTGATATACTTCTTGTTTAGTTTTGTTGGCAATCTATTATATAACTATTTATTATGCACGACTAATCAGAATTCTAGTAATTTATTTTCAGTATTTAGTCATACCAACTGTGGTATTTAACTCATACCTACAACGAAGTTGTAAGGTTCTTTATTATATCTTCGTCAGGATGATTTAGTCGCTACTAACAAGAAAAAGACAGAAACATTACATATATAAATGATAACACGGTGTTAGTTGAAACGTTGAAATACTAAACTAAAGAGGAGCAGCTACACATTCTATCGTTCTATTATATAGAACAACTCAAACTGCTTTTATTCATAATGATTAATTCGTACCAAATTGACTACTACTTTGTCTATAGCTTCAGTGACTTGACTTGGTCGTTTTTAAACTCACTAGATAAAAGCCTAAAGACACTATATATACGGAGAAGCCAAGGTTTATGAGCAAGCCACCAAGTTGAAACCCCATTCCTATACACCGTCTCTCATTCTTCAGTCGCCAAACTATAATTTTCCCAAAATGCCGGTTTGTTGTGTTTTGTATTTTTACTTAAATTTTCAGAATGGTTTTTTTCAGCATGCTTTATCCACCTTATAAAGCCTGCTGAAATATAACCATATCTATAATTACAGAAATCCAATATAATTTTATTGCTTAAATAAATGTTTGCAGGAGAAAGTTGTATTCAAGTTGGACGTGTTTGACGAAAGAATCAAACAAAGAGCTATGAAAGTTGTATGCGAGTTTCCAGGTATATCAGTAAACCATTGATGGCAAGTAATGGTTTAGTCAAGAAAAGATATACGGTTTATATAAAAGCATAAGTAATAGAATCATCGGTTTTAAGACAACAAATTTTTAAACAATAGTTTTGTTGTTATTAGGGGTTACTCTGATAGACGTGAAGGAAAAAGGTAAACTAAAAGTGTCGGGAGAATTCGACAAGTTTGAAATGACGAAGAAGCTTAAGAAGATATACAAATATGTTGACATTATTGCGCTTGAACAGATTGGGGAACCGAAGAAAAAATTGGATCCGGTTAAGAAACCTGAACCACTAGTGAAGAAGGCCCCGAAACAAAAATTGGATCCGGTTAAGAAGCCTGAACCAGTAGTGAAGAAGGCACCATCTTTCCGTGGTTGGAAGATAGGTTTCTTTTAAAGGAATCAATTTTGAGGTCGTTATCAGTTTGAGTTCTATGGACTATTGTATCATGTCGATATGTTTCATCTCATTTTATGAAAAAGTTGTTTATGTATGTTTGAATAATAATATGGTGTGTAGCTTACAAAGAAGAAATTCATATATAGATGAAACCCTAAAGAGTATGAAGGGTAAATAATTAGTACAATTCTCGCTTAATATAAAATAATAAATTTATAAAAGTATTATTTTGAGATTTATTTTCATCATTAAAAACATAGGTTTTAGAGAGTTTGGGAACGCGCTAGCAGTTAGTCGGGCGGTAAGGGTAGACCTAACGCCTAGACAAAAAATCGGAAACTAAACAAAAAATGTGTGGGACAAAATTTTTAAATTATTTGAACTGATATAAAATATGTTAATTTTTAATCGTGTACAACGTTAATATATTTTCATATTTAGATTTAAACACACAAATATAGTATATAAACTTAATATTTATAATTTTTATTAAAATTATGAATGGAAATTTTATTTATCAAATTTTTAATATAAATAAAAAATATTATTAAAAATAAATAAAAAATTATTAGGCGGCTGCCTAAACGGTCATCTAAACAAATTAAAATCAGATATCTAATTTTTTATACCGGTTTAATTTAAATCGAGGTGGATAAATGTCATCATATATGCGACCGTCTAGAAGATTAGGCATCCAATTTTTAGAAAAAGGGTTCTATATCTTTTATTTGAAATCTGATACAGTTTGGTTTAATTTCAATATTTCCATTGAATCATGTTTATAAAATAGTTAAATAAAATTTATAGTAACTGTAACTGATTTTTTTCTTGAACATGGTTAGTTTGATTAATTTCATTCGGTGGTTAGTTTCGGTTTTGGAGTTCAACTCCGTGTCGCCGCCTGACCATCAAAAGACTTTAGATAGGTTCAGAGAAGACAAAGAATGGCGTACGCGACTCTCTCTCACTCCCTCATCCTCTCTTCCTCCTCCAGATTCTCTCGTCTCAGCAGATTGCTCAGACACACAAACCCTCTTCCTGTTCCTCGCTTCCGATGCTACTGCTCCGACGAGTCTTCTCCTTCTCCTTCTGTAAAGTAAACTCCTTTGTCTTTGCCTCCTGCTCCTTAGTTGCATTCTATCCCATTAAGTCAACTCTTTTTATGTCAGGAAACGTGTGGTCTCTGGAGTTCAGCCTACAGGTTCAATTCACCTCGGAAACTATCTCGGCGCTATCAAAAACTGGGTCACTCTCCAGGTCAATGCTTCCTTCTTTCATCAAATTTATCCTTAGGTAGCTCCATTTGCTATTGTAAAGCTTTATACTTTCACTAAAATTCATCAAATTTAGACGGTTTTATTGTAAAGTTCAAGGCTTTGAGGGAGATATAGTTTATCTTATCTGGTTGCTACAATGTATATATCCTTATGTAGCTCCATTGCTATTGTATAGTCACAGTCTATAAAGTATTAGATTTTTCGCTAAAATTCATCAAAATTTAGATGGGTTTTATTCTAAAGTTCAACTGTTCAAGCCTTTAAGGAAGATAGAGTTTATGTTTTCTAGTTGCTACAATGTATATTATCGTTAGGTAGCTCCAGTGCTATTGTATAATCACAGTCTATAAAGTATTAGACTTTTCACTAAAATTCATCACATTTAGATGGTTTTATTGTAAAGTTCAAGGCTTTATGGAAATGGGTTTATCTCTCCTTTGTTCCTCAGGCTTTCTGTGTTTATATCTCTGCAGGACACATACGAGACGCTCTTTTTTATCGTTGACCTTCATGCGGTATGTATCACCAGTCTACCTTTCATTAGTTAAGTTTATGGAATAATACTTCCTTAATGTTTCTTTCTTGAGCTATTGTAGATAACACTACCTTATGACGTGCAAGAACTAAGAAAGGCGACTAGGGATACTGCAGCGCTCTATCTAGCATGTGGTGTAGACATTTCTAAGGTTCTGTTTTTCGAATTTTAACTCTTATGTGAAAGCATTTCGCATGTGATGAGCAATAGTCATAGAGCGACACTTGTAGGCTTCGGTGTTTGTGCAATCTCATGTCCGTGCTCATGTGGAGTTAATGTGGCTTCTGAGTTCATCCACACCTATTGGTTGGCTACAGAAAATGACTCAGTTCAAAGAGAAATCACGCAAGGAGGTGCGTTATATGTTTTTTTATTCTCATGTTTTATAACATTCTTTTTTCATCATTATGTGATTCAGATATATATAACGGAGATATGCATATATATATATCAAATCCCACTTTAGTGTTACGTTTGTTGTTGATTTCTTGGTGTTGCTAGATAGATAACATATGTAGTCTTATAATGTCTTTGGTATCAGAACAGCTTACTCTTTCTGCTGCATAAACAACCTGAAAAATGATTATGTAATTGTATTCGCACATGATTCTGTTTACTGATTCCATTTTGTTTCTTTTATTTTTTTGCTTTGCAGGGAGGCGAGAATGCTTCTGTGTCTTTGTTAACTTATCCAGTTCTGATGGCTGCGGATATCCTCTTGTATAAGGTGATGCTTTAAAAGAATCAAGTCTCATCTGAAACTAATGATTATGATGAAGGAACATTAAGGCTTATTTTTTATCATTTTAAAGAAGTGCTTGTAGATAACTTCCTATTTGCATGTAAGATGACCGTTTCTCTGATTCTTATACTCTGAAACATGCCTCTGCAGTCAGATTTTGTCCCTGTTGGCGAAGACCAGAAGCAGCACCTAGAACTTGCCCGTGATCTGGCACAGCGTGTGAATAATTTATATGGTGGAAGGAAGTGGAAGAAGCTCGGAGGGTATACAAATTTTGCTTTTTGCATCTAGTAAATTTAAGTATACCAGCCAAACAAGTGCTTCTGATCAATGATATGCATTATTTTTTTTTTTCATTTCCAGGCGTGGTGGTTCTATCTTTAAGGCGAGACATTCGAAATGCTTTGTCTACTCCTCATTGTGTGTCTCTTATCACAAATGGTTAATCGGTTTTCGAATTTAAACCCATAATGTAGATACCAGAACCACTCATACCACAAGTTGGAGCCCGAGTAATGTCTCTCACAGATGGTCTTTCCAAGGTATAATGTTTTCATTTACATCTTATCTAATTTTGTTGTCATTTATTCCCTTTCTGCATTTAGCAGTTGATTGGTCTTAGTGATTAGATGAATAAAATTTTGTAACTCTTATTAGAAATGTCTTGAGGTCAGCTCTTTGTATTTTTAAACATCGAAGAGAGTTTTGCTTCTAGGTTGTAAGGTTTTAACACTTGTGAGATTTACATAACACTTGAGAAGATCCAAAAAAAAAACACTTTGAGCTTACTTATTGCTATATTCTCAGATAAATTCTGAGGAATTTATGTACTTGTTGCTGACGTGTCATACTGTCATGTAATCTTGTAGATGTCCAAATCTGCACCTTCTGATCAGTCCCGGATCAATCTCCTTGACTCAAAAGATGTAAGTAAAATGAACTCGCTCTTGTTGTTTGGAATGGCATATTGCCCACAGGATATTATTCTTGACGTATAAATGTGTGTCTGGGGTTGTGGTGATTAATAATGAAAACACCATGTTCTTGTAGAATTCTGTGTCATGTTGGTTGTATGTGAAGCTTGTTTGCTTACTAAATCCATTTCTCGAAAATTATGTAGTTGATTGCGGATAAGATAAAACGGTGCAAGACAGATTCATTTGCAGGGTGAGTGCTAGTAATGTCGCCATAAATTTCCTGCTTTTCAATAACAGATATTGATAAGTTCTTGCTTCTTATTGCTATAACAGCCTTGAGTTTGACAACGCCGAGAGACCTGAATGCAACAATCTCCTCTCCGTATATCAGATTGTTTCAGGCAAGACAAAAGAGGTAATAAAAAGTGATATGTATATCAAGTCAAGAAGTGATATAAGACTGTATAAATTGAATCTGGTTGCAGGAAGTGATGGGGGAGTGCAAAGATATGAGCTGGGGCACATTTAAGCCTCTCCTTGCAGATGCTGTCATCGAGCATCTTAGTCCAATCCAGGTCTGCCAATTCAGTAACTCTTTTTTTTCTCTCTAAACTCAATCCAATATCTTCCTTCAAGTGTTTTTTTTTGTACTTTTTCAGTCTCGTCATATATCATAAAATGAAAAAAATGGAGGTGTGGTGGTTATATAATCATTTCATTTATGTGTTTCTTTCATTGTGCAGGTCCGTTATGAGGAGATAACAGCAGAGTCAGCGTATTTGGACAAAGTACTGTCGGAAGGTGCGGACAGAGCCACGGAGATAGCCGAATCCACAATTCAGAATTTGAAACAAGCAATGGGTTTCTATATATGAAGGATCAGTGCCTACCTATTGGTGTCTAAAAGCTTCTTTTTTTGGTGGAAAGAAAGAGTTAAAGAGTTAAAAAAGTTTGTGAAACAATTCTTGATTCTTGAATTAGTGCAGTCAAATGATGCTCTCAATATTCTTTGCGACAATTGTTATGTATCAAATATTCTTTGCGGTAAGTTATTTTAAAGATTTTTCAAAAATAAATAAATTTGGCCCGCTTTGTTATGCGGCATAACTTATGCCGACAGTTTATGCATTCAATTATATCACTTTGGTGGTACCTGTTGGGCCCGAATTTAGCCCGTTAGCTGAATTAATGGGCCGAATAGTAGAAACCGTTTGTAAAGCATTACGAGCTCATCAGGAAGCTTCCCCTCAAATGAGGACCACATGAAACCGTTACCTATCGGTGAAAACAGGTCACGAACAAAAGACTCGGGACCTCATTTTCAAAACAGTTAGCAAGAAACAGCTCCGGAG